GACACATGGTCACTGGTAGTTCGTATATATTTTACACCTATCTAGAGAGAGAAAGTAGAGAGAAGGGAGAGAAAGTGTACCTGATTTTGCAAGGAAGAATGAAGGGGGGAAAGGCAAGAGAGGTATATATAGGGGAAGCGGCGCGAATCTCAGAGCTGTAATTATTAGGTTTAGAGACCTAGGTGGGCTTTTCCTTTTGAGACTCTTCACATTCCGTCTTTAATGGGCCGAGTCCTATAGGGAAAGCCCACTCCTCGTGACCGTTCGAATTCCCGTCTCATACGCTTTGAGTGATCACCGAGTAAGAAACTCAATTCCCTCCTCGCAACTATCTAACAATTTTCGCGGGATGACGACAAGTCGAACACCGAGTGAGCAGCAAAATCGCCCTCGCGTGACCGCCGAATAACTCGCAAGCACTGGCGACAATACGCGAGTATCAGGGACGACACGATCACCGAGTAAACTCCTAGACTCTGCTCCTGGTCGGGTACCGAGTAAAAGACTCGGCTCGCAATCTCATTTCATCTTCATCATCGAGTAAACAATTTGTACGAAAAACGCCCTCGAGAGCCTCCTCCCGCATCCCGATTATGCTTTCCTGCAGACCCAATGAGCTAATTCCATTGATTCACTTATCAATCATCAATAGACTGGGGGGACTTACTGTAGGAGGTGGATTGTACCCACCCCTCAGGGCCCACAGGAAACCTTATTCGGCCCAATAAGAGACAAGTCATTGACGACTAACGTTAACCGAGCAATACCCGAGTAGCGTCCGTACGAGTAAGGAATTTATCTTTCCGAGTCAGGAAGAGGCCCAACACGAAGACCCGGGCCCATCAACATACACAAGCTTAGGTTAAACTTAACAAGGAGGGTTCGACTATAAAAGGGGAAGGGGGAACACAAAGAGAGGGGATCCGAAAATAGACTGACTAGGCGGCGACTCATATTAGGGTTTCTATCTTACTCGCTTTGTTGTTACCGACTAGTCCGTACGATACCTCCGGATAAGCTCTCCGAGCACCGGAGACTCTCTTTGTACTCACTTCCCGATTATAAATAAAGTCCCTTTCTTTGTTCATTATTGCTCATCCCTTTGTAATAACCCACCGACGAGTCTAGTCACTCACCTCACTGATACACGACCGAACTCGGTTCAAACACCAGTGATAATAATATCATCCACATAGATCAGTACCACCACAATTCCTTGCTTGCTTGTGAGAGTAAAGAGAGTATGATCAGCTTCTTATTTTACAAACCCTCTTCCATTGAGAGTTGTACTCAGTTTATGATACCAAGCTCTTGGTGACTATTTTAATTCATAGACTGCTTTCTTCAACCTTAGGACATTCCCTGGCTTGACCATGTCTTCCATACCCGGAGGTGGCATCATGTACACCTCATCCTCCAGCTCTCCTTGAAGAAAAGCATCTTGACATCCATCTGCCATAAATCTCATTCCAGGTTCACTGCCAAGGAGGTAGAATCCTTAAGGTGTGGAGTTTAGCTACTGGTGCAAAGGTCTCCAAATAGTCTTCTTCATATACTTGAGTATATCCTCTTGCAACCAGCCTTGTATTCTTGCTTTCTGGTTTTCCATTGGCAAGATACTTGATGGTGAAGAGCAGGCGGCTTGTAACAGCTTTCTTTCCTTTGGGAAGCTCAATTTCATACCAAGTATCATTTTTGATCATGGCACCAACTTCATCTCTAATTGACTCTCTCCACTCTTCATGCTCCATGGCTTCTTCATAAGTCTTTGGAACATACTCTTGATCCAGATTGCTGATGAAGACTACATGCTCTTGAGGATAATCCGCAAAAGAACATGTTTCTTGGATTGGATGAGTTACAGCATTGCTGCATGCACTGTGATAATCAGGTGGCCATTCATATAGCTTCAAACTCAGTGTTTCATGAAAGAACAAAGCACATTGAAGTGGATTGTCACAAAGTGAGACAAGCTGTGGAGCAGAAGATTATTCTACCTTGCTACACAAGAAGTGAAGACTAGCTAGCCGATATCTTCACCAAAGGAGCAACTATTAAGGTCTGTGAGTTCATTCATCTGAGATTGGGACTCATAGACATGGCTAGATCATGATTCCCTTAACTATGGAGTCTCCACTCTTTTTCCCTCATCAAGGTTTTATCACAATGGATTTTCTTTGGTGAGGTTGTTAATGAGGGAGGTCTTCATGGCTTCCAAGCTTGACCGGTTCTCATGGTCAAACTTGAGGGGGAGTATTGAATATTAAAATAAAAGTGATAACTTATTTTAGCTGCTCTGTTAAGCCAAGTGTGTTTGGCATCTAGAGTAAATATGTTCCATTATGTTTCTTCTCTTTAATAATCTATTGTAATGACTTTTTCAGATCTAAGAAAATTATTCCTTCTTTCTCTCTCTCTCTCTTATTCTTCATTCTCCAGCAATAAACTCTCGCAAAAGAACATGTTGCTTGGATAGGATGAGCTACTGCATTGCTGTTGAAATACATTTTGGTGTCGACCCATTTGGATGGTTTCTTCACTCTTGTACTCCTTCTCTTTGGTTGAAATTTTTGTTCTTCTACCACTGTCTCTTCTTGTCCTTGATCTCCATTAAACTGATCTTCTCTTGACTGATCAGATTCAGCTTCATCTTGATCATGTGTGTTTGCTGAATCATCTCCTTTTTGCGGTTGTGATTCAGGTTTATTGCCTCCTTCAGGATCAGGATGGACTGTTTCAACAACTGGTGCTTCTTCTTCATTGTTTCCGGCAGCTGGTGATGAAAGAGAAGTTCTTGGAACCTCACTGCTCTGAGGCTGAATGATGCGTAGATTCTCCATAATGATTCTCAAGTTGTTTGCCCGAACTTAAGGTTCTTGTGAGAGATCTTGAAGGCTTTCCCAACTCTTCTCCTCATAGTACCCTTTAGATTCCACAAACTTAACATTTCTAGATATTAACACCCTTCTTGATACTGGATCATAGAATTTATACCCTTTTTGAGTTGGAGAATAGCCAATGAACATAGCTTTTGAGCTTTTAGCATCAAGTTTGTTTCTCTGCTGTCCTGGTATCAGCACAAAGCATAGACACCCAAACAAACGCAAGTGGTCCAAAGGAGACTTGGTCTGGTTAAGAACCTCAAATAGAGACATGTCGTTAAGAACTTTAGTTGGAGTCTTATTGATCAGATAGCTAGCACACACCACAGCATCACTCCGAAACCTTTTTGGAACATTGGTGTGAAACATCATTGATCTTGATAATTCCATCAAGTGTCAGTTATTCCTTTCAGCAACTTCATTCTGTTGAGGAGTGTAAGGACAGTTTATCTGGTGAATAATTCCAAGTTGAGCAAAATATTTCTTAAATGCCAGACTTGTGTACTCTCCACCATTGTATGGCCTAAGAATCTTCACCTTGGCATTAAAGTGATTGGAGACATGGGCTTGAAATTTTTTGAAAGCCTCTAACACTCTATCAAAAGATGGAATCAGTGTCACCCAAGTGTATTTGGACTTCTCATCAATGAAAGTGACAAAGTATTTGTGATCTCCCTTGATACACATGGTTCAGTCCATACATCAGAGTGAACTAGGTCAAAACATTTCTCATAGATGGTGCCAGACTTTGGAAATATAGTCCTGCAATGCTTCCCCTATATAGAAGCTTCACAATCATCATTCATGAACATCACTTCAGGGAGCATCAGATTTAAGGCTCTAGTATGAGGATGTCCCAGTCTAGCATGCCATATGATGCTCTCAACCTCATTTGATGTAGTGGCCAGGCCTAGGAAGGAGAACCAACCGAAGATGTTTTGGACACCTCTGTCTTCTGAAGATGGTAGAGTTCATTGTGACTATGCCATTTTCCAATCACCTGGCCTGTCTTTAAGTCTTGAAATTCAACTTCATCTAGTCTGAAGACAACCTGACAGCTAAGATCAACAGTAGCCTTCCTCAGAGATAACATATTAGATGTAAACTGAAGCATATACAAAGCAGTTGATTCCCTATCAAATAACCTAAGGTTCCATATCCCTTCTATTTTAACCTTATCACCATTTGCTATACGAACATTCCCAGAGGCAGGCTGGACATCACTAATCAAAGACTTATCACTAATCATGTGATGGCTTGCTCTTGAATCTATAAGGATAGTTTTAAAGTCAAAAGAGTGTGTACCAGCCTTCTTGGATGATATAAAAGTTTCGATAAAGGAATGAAGGTCACTTTTGGTCGCTGGACCATCTATGTTGGTTGCACAATCCTCACTGGAATTACCATTGCAAAATTTGTCTTGTTCATAAATCATTTGGAGACTCTCCCATAAATTTCCATAAGTTGTTTGAAGATTTTCCGTAGATTTTTGGCGGTTTTAAACTGACAATGAGTCTCCAAGAATTGTTTAGCCAAAGATTTGTGTATGATTCCAAGTGCTTGTTGGTCTTCTTGAACCCACTTGTTATCATGCGTCAGGCACGTAACCTGATTATGCTTCTGAGCCATCATCCTCTTTGAAACTTCAGCCTCCATGATATGGATGTCCCAAAGTCCATGATTTCCCAAAGTAACTTGGCCATTTTTTACCATAAAATAAATTTAGGACCCTCAAGAGTCACTGAAATAAAGTTATTCTTCTCCTTTTCCATGGTTGGAATTCTTTTACCCAAAAGGTACAAAGATGGACCAGTGAATAACATTGAAAAACACAAAAAATTTGAAAAGAAAAAGATTGTTTTGCAAAGTAAAAGGAGTTTAAAGCTTTGATATCAAGTTAGTTTTGTGAGAATATAAGATATTTAGCGAAAATTTATTGCTGGAGAATGAAAAAAGAAATAAAAAAAGAAATGAGAGAATAATTTCCTTCGATTTGAAAAAAGTCATTAAAATAGATTATTAAAAACAAGAAACATAATGGAACATATTTATTATAGATGTCAAATACACTTGATTTAATAGAAAAGCTACAATAAGACATCACTTTTATTTTAATATTCAATACACTTCCCGGGAAGATCTTTTAGCCGTCTCTACATCTTCCTCAGTTTCAAGGTCAGGAAGATCACCCAATCGCAACATTGACTTTTCCACAAACATGTCAAGTTCATGTTGTTGTGCATCTTCATAGCGTTTATCAGTCAGCTTCCACAGCTTCTTTTCAACAGTATCATACAACTTTCGCACAATAAAACCACGGTTATCCGTGCGTTTTGGAATTTGCTTGTGAGGTGGAACAAAATTCACCACGCATTTATGCATCACAGATTTTACTGGGACCTCATTACGATGGAAACTGTAGAAAAGTTCTCGTGTATGATTTACTTTCCAGTTTCCACCACCCTTTTTCTCTGCTTCTTCTTCACGATAAAACCACTGTCCCAGAATCATCATGCTTTCATCTTGGTTTTTGGTAATATCCTAGCCAAAAAAAAAATAATAACAGAAAAGTCTTAGTTGGAAGAACTTATAAGCATATATGTACAAAAGCAGCACGCACAACACTACCTTGATAATGGCAACGTAAGGCCTTTGACTCTCTTTTTCTGGACAAACCAGCACCGTATCCTCCTGTGCAAGAAAGAAATGTCAGAAAGACTACAAACAAAGCATCCAGGTGCAAAGGTAAAGTATGATCTAAAAGGAAAAACTTCCAGTCTCAAAAAGAAAATCTATGGAAAATACAGACATCAAAGTTCCTTCAAACCCAAGATTCAGCGATGTAATCACCAACAAGTAATTAAACAAGGTCAACTCGAAACCCATAATAATAATGCATCAATCTAATCAACACAACTCACCAGCTTGTATCTTTTTCCGTTGTACTTGAACTTCCCGTAATGGGTTCTTCTTCTTCCTCTTCTTCTTCCTCTACCCGTAACTTTAATCGGCTCACCAACCGGTTTCACGTCATCGGGCTTCAATTCCTTCAGCAGCGTTTTGTCGCCGTCTTTCTTACGCTTCCTCCTCTTTCCCTCCATTTTTTCCGCAGGTCTCCTTGAGTTCTGTCCCTGAGACTCCGTCTCCGCTACAAAGTCATCTTCCCCGTCACTCGAGGACACCTGAGCAAACCTCCGGCGACGCAACACCATTTTGCTTCCTCCTCCCTGTGTCAATAAAAAGAACAAAGACAATTAGTAAGATATGTTGTTGTTTTGTAAATGTGATAGAACGTACTTGACACACCTTTTTTTTTTTACCAAAAAAAATGTATTGACACACCTTACTCCAATAAAAAAAATGTATTCACATACCTTCTGAACTTTTGGTTTTACAAGGACGTTAGAGACATGCATATAAATACTAATTTACAGTTTTATAAGCCTAGATTTATTTAATTGTCTTTATTATCTTGAAGGACTTTTATGAAAGATATCTTAGTCTCGTTTTAAAAAGTCTATATGTGAAAAATTATTGTAGTAATAGTTTAATTACGTTTTCAACAAATTTAATGCGGAGTTTTATTTTATTGCTTAGTTATTAATTTTGGAAAAAGTATTAGTTTAATTACGTTTTCAACAAATTTTATGCGGAGTTTTACTTTATTGCTTATTTATTAATTTTGGAAAAAAGTATTACCTTTTAAAAATGTTTGTTAGGAAAAAGTATTTTCAATTAAATTATCAAATTGCACAGATATTTAGCTAAAATGTATTTCGCTACAAATGATATTGTACGATTTCAAAACATAGTTACAAAAATTAGTATTTATTAATTTAATATTAGTTAAGCATATATATTTTATTGGTGAATACTAAATTTATTTCTAAAAAATTGGTCAACTTTATCATTTTTGGATATCATAGTAATAAACTAAAAATGGTGAAATTTATTACTTAGAAAATTTTATCAACAAAAATTAAGATTGGTAAAGTATTTGAAAAGTTGTCAACTTTTTCATTTAGGATATCTTATTAACAAAAGTAAAATTTGTCAGAATAATGAATAAAATAAAACTTATTCAGTAAACTACCATACGCTTGGTTGGTTAAGTAGTTAGATGGGCTGATAATTTTATAATAACCAATCACAAATAATAACCAAAATAGATAAGAGAGCATTGGTGGTAGTTCTGGGTGTTCGGGTTCTCGTGTAGGGTTCGTGCTTATTCCTTTTGGGTCCTGGTCGTTTGGGTCCGTATTTCGCTACAAAAGATATTGTAAGATTTCAAAAATAGTTACAAAATTTAAATTTATTAATTTAATATTAGTTAAGCATATATATTTTATTGGTGAAAAAAATTATTTCTAAAAAATTGGTCAACTTTATCATTTTTGGATAGAATAGTAATAAAATAAAAATGATGAAATTTATTACTTAGGAAATTTTTTCAACAAAAATTAAGATTGGTCAAGTATTTGAAAAATGGTCAACTTTTTCATTTAGGATATCTTATTAACAAAACAAAAATTTGTCAAAATAATGAATACAATAAAAGATAATCAGTAAACTACTATGGGCTTGATTAGTTAAGTATTTAGATGGGCTGACAATTTTATAATAATCAATCACAAATAATAACCAACACAGAGAAGAGAGCATTGGTGGTAGGTCTGGGTGTTCGGGTCTTCGGATCGGGTTTGTGACAGTTCGTTTTGGGTCTTGGTCGTTCGGGTCCTAGAAATTTAAACTCAGTAGATACTTGTAAAATTTAGTTTCGGGTTTGGGTTAGTTCTTCTCGGATTTGGATCGGTTCAGATCTATAATTAAAATATCTATAAAATACTCGTAATTTTTGGTTCTTGTATTGGGTCCGGAGAACTCAAGTATTTAAAATCTAAAAAGTACATGAAATACCAAAACCCCATCAAATTTAATCAAAATATGTCATATATATCTAAAATTTACAAAATAATTTAAAATAGACTACTAATATTTAAAATGAGACATTTTTAAACTCTGATTTTATATCTAAAAGTTCATTTTACTTAAAAATGGTACACAAATAATAACAATGATTGTTAACAAAAGATTTTCTCTTAGATCGTAAAATAAAATATATAAAACAAAACACAAAAGTCATAGTTTTGGATACTCAAATATTTTAATTCGGGTAGTAATCGGTTTTTATCTGATTAGGTCTATTCGAGTCGCTTATTTTCGGATTCAGATCTATTCGGATCAGTTATTTTCAGTTACGATTTTTTCGGGTAGAAAAAATGAGAAGCAATAGGTATTTGTAAATTTTTTAAACGGTTTGACTTTTGGGTCGGTTTTGGTTTAAATTTTCGCGTCCTGGTAAAATGGCCATGCTTAATTGGTGGCTCCCATATGCTCCAAGTCATAATGCTCTTTGTGAAGCTTTTACAAGAGCACTTAAACTTATTAATTTAAAATTACAAATATAAACTTATATGTTTAACTAAAATGTAAAGATAACATTCTAATATAATTCTAAACTTAATCCTAGCTACGTACAGTTTCATTATAAACATAGGTTAGTTATGAAAGTTGTGTCTTCCACCAAAAAAGCTGTCAGCAATTTTACCGGTAAGTGCAAGCAAGGTATATCTGTGGTTTTGATCTTATAGAAACTTACTTGAATTTGTGTTTTAAAAAACACGTGTAATAGGAACTTCTTTTATAACATAGACCAAAGTTTCTAATTATTGTTGTGCCCGTATGTTACTTGTGTAACGTATGATTGTGGAAACGTCTTATATATTAAAACATAAGTCATAAGTTCATTTCATGTGTAGTTTTTCTAAAATTTGGACCTATTTCTAAAAAAATATCAAATTCTATATATGTTCATTATTATATTTCTTAATATCCTTATATTTTTAGATGCTCATCGTTTTATTTGAAACTAGATTTTGACCCGCACTTAAAAGCGCGTAAATTTTTTTATGATTAAAAATTTATATAATTAGGTTTTGTTTTAATTTAAAGAATATTCTGATATAAAATCAGTTCACCAAAATTTGTGGTGATGATTGTTTTTCATTAGTTTTTAGTTTCACTTTTTATTTTTAGATTTTGGTTTTTGGTTTTTAGTTTTTAAATTTCTACTTTTCATTTTCAGTTTTTGGTTTGGGTTTTAAATTTTTAAACCTGCTAAGTTAGTTTGAACTGATATTACCAACAAACAAATCTCAAATAATCGAACATCTAATTTAAAACTGAAAAGATGAAAACAAATTAAAAAAAATGAAATAGTTTATATTGTAAATAAACAAAGCAAAAAAAATATAATATGTGTTTTCAGCTTTTGGTTTTGGATTTTAGTTTTTAGATTTGGTTTTTGGTTTTGCTTTACATTTTTTTAATCAGTAAATTATTTAAGAAAAACAATACAATAAATTATTTAAAAGTTACAATTGAAATTTATCAAAACAAAGTGATTGTTATTTAAAATAAAAAAATAATATATTAACATTTTTTAAAGTACATGATTTAAATAAATGATTAATAATAGATAATTTTGTTTTGTTAAAAATATTAAATATCTTTTGGGTCTGAAAATAATAATTGATTTTTTATCTTTTAAGGTGAAAAGTTTATTCAATGTTTTTGGTGTTTTTTCTTAATATTAAGTCCAAAAACCAAACTATATAATTTGTTCAAAAAACAAAAGTAAGCCCAAAACTATATTTCATAAATAACCACTGGTTTAATGTAAGTATAATTAGTAGATTTCCATATTCCATATTTTGATGATATATATTCTTTTTAAACATTCCATATTTGTAGGAGAAAATATGTGTTTTCGGTATACACATAGATATCTGCCGTATTTTGAAGATAGTTTACATTAAGATCGTCTTTTTACATTAATTGTGTTGGTTTAATTTAAGTAATACGGTTCAATCAATTATATGACTTATATTATTTGTAACATTCTAGAAAGGGTCCAAATTTAAATGACAACTTGTATCAGTAGATAAAAAGAATGACTCTATTTTAATAGAATAGATACAAATGAATATATTTAAAATATTCTAACATAATCTTTTAAAATCTTTTAAACTTATTTTCTAAATTAGTTATTTTACTTTAAGTTATCATAAAATATAATTATAAATTGAAATTGAATTTAGTTTTGATTTGTAAACGAATATTAAAAATTAACTATTTTTAATCATATTCACTCATAATAAAAAAATGAAATTGATTAATTTCAAAATACATGCATTTTACCAATTCCTTATAAGATTTGTTACAAATAAATATTTATTTTATTTCAAATGTTTTAAATATATACATATATATATATATATAACTGTTCTATTAAAATAAAATATATGATATTTTTATGGGTGATATTTTTATTTAGACCATCATTTATTTTTTTATTAAATATATATCCTTAATGCTAATAATATAAAATAATTTTAACTAATTTAATCATAAAATATTTTAATATTTTTAATTGAAAAAATAACACATATATATATATATATATTTAATTTCTAGCAAATAAGTTGAAAAACATTATAACAAGATCTTAATTGTCAAAAAATTGAACATAAATATTTTCACTAATTTCATAATTAGTCATGAAATGTTGTTATACATTAATATATATATATATGTCCCTATATATATTCAGCTCTATTTTATAAAATGAAAAGAATAAAATTATATCCTATTTTATCTATTTTCTAATAATATCTATCATTTTAAAAGAAAACAATTATATTGAACTAAATATGATAAAAGTTTTTTTAAAATTGATAAGTTAATATATTTATGTTAATAAATATAAAATATTTATTCTAAAAATAAAATATTTTCTTAGAACGGGTTAATATTCCTAAACTATATAATTCATTTATCTAAACTTTTTATATACAGTAATATATTATATAAAATAAATAATATAAAAATTGCTAATCTAGCTTTTTGAATTACAGGTTACGATCATAATAAATTATAAAATAATTTTCAAATATGGTGTTTCATACATAAGAAATTGGTTTAACTAATAAAATGCATATAAACTATAAACTTATTGTATCTGAAATAATTATACAAACATTTAAATATGTGACTAACATTAAAAATGTATACTTTGACCCGTAAAAAAATATTTATATATAAACATGAAAATATATACCCGCACAGTTGTGCGAGTCGAAATTTAGTTATTTTTTAAAGCTAATGTGCACATGTTTCATGCTCTGTTTAATGGTGTTTATGATTATTCTTTTACCATTTTTCATTATTTCGTATATTTTAAAAACATACTTATATTGTATTTGTAACTTATTAACAAAAATAAAATGTCTCTTCACAATGAGAAATATATTTGTTTCCTAATAATTTTACCTCAGCTTTTTTTCTAATAATTTTAGTGTCTCATCACAAGGAGAAATATATTTGTTTCTAAACTTATTTTTATAATTTATTTAGGCAGTATTCTATTAATATATATTTAAATAATTTAGGAAGAACCTAAATGACTTTTATTTCACGTATAAATGAGATATTATTAAACTAGCACAAGGCAAACCACTAAACTATATATCATGATTTATTAAATATTTACTTTCTATTTTGAAAAATAAAAAGTCTTGGTTCTATTTTATGCAAGCTATTTAATCCTTTATCAATTAAGATACTAATCTCTATGTACAAACATAATGATTCACAGATTATCTTATGTTTTATTTATTACTTTGATTTTTTTTATTAATAAAATATCCTAAATGAGAAAGTTGACCTTTTTACTAAATACTTTGACCAATTTTAATTTGTGTTAGTCATATTTCCTAAATAATAGTTTTGACCATTCTTATTTTTTATTAATTAGTAAGAATCCAAGATGAAAAATTTGACTAAAAAAAATAATCATCAAAATTCATGACTATGTTATGAAATATTACAATATTGTTTTCTTATTGAAATATATTTTAGCTACCATTTCTGTAAACTGATAACTTAATTAAAATAGTTTTTTCGAAAAAATATTTTAAAAGCTTAATTAATTTTTGTTAAACCATCAAAATTAGACCTATAATTTTGTATTAAGTGTTTTGGAAACTATCAATATTAAAGATATGATTTAATTGTATAAATTTTATTACTAAATCATAGTTATTCCAACACAATAATTTTTTCCCCCCAAAAAGTTGGTTTAATAGTAAAAGAAATGAACTACAAACTAATTTTCTTTTAACTAAAATATAAAAATATATTAATATGAGATATCAAATATGGTAACACATAGATTTCACTTTAATAGTTTTAATATTCTGCCATCCTAAAAAACCTTTTAAAACAAATTTTCACTTTTAAAAGCTTTAAAATACTTACTTTTAATTCAGATAGAAAAGATAGAAAAGTGAAAAAAATAATCAATAAAAGAAAAATTTAGAAAACATAAATTATAATTAGTGTACATAAAATAGATAAAAATAATAAACTTTTTAAAAAAAATTAACAAGTAAGCAATAAATAAATTCTCAGTCTCACAAAAATTTTGTTAAAAAGGTAACTAAATTAATACAAAAATATTAAAATAGATTCCCCCATAAAATTCATCAAAGATAACTAAGCAATAAAATAATTTTCTGCTAAAACTGGAAGTTGTTTATAGCAAATTTCATTAGATATATATATATATATATATATATATATATATATATATATATATATATATATGATCTAACGATTCTAACCTCTTTGTAAAACCCAAAATTTCAGAAGGTGTGTGAATATAACATACAACGTTCTATCATATTCACGAAAACATCATACTCTTATTATTTATCTACAATCTCTTATTCACGCAGGGAGGAGGAAGAAAGATTGTGTTGTCTCAGATTCGGAGCTTTCCTCAAGTGTCACCGAGTGAGGACGAAGAGGCCTTTGTACGGGAGAGGTCTCTCCGACAGAAGTCAACGAGGACTGATGAACTAATGGAGGGAAAGAGGAGGAGGCGTAAGAAGGTGAGACATTGCGAAGATGATGAGGAGGACGAGAAGGAGACAAAGAGGAAGAGGAAGAGAAAGAAAAAGAAAGATGAAGACGTAACACGGCCCAAGGAAGTGAAGCCCGATGACGTGAAACTGGTTGGTGGGCCGGTTAAAGTTATGGGTGGAGGAAGAGGGAGAAAAACCCATTACCGGCAGTTTGAGTACGGCGGTAACAGATACGGGCTGGTAAGTTGTGTTGACTAGTTTGAATGAAATATAATATATGTATGGGTTTCGATTGCACCCTTTTTAATTATTTTTTGGTTATTACATCGTTGAATCTATGGTTTTGAAGGAACTTTGATTTTTGTGTGAGAATGTATTAGCCATAGATGCTCTTTTTGAGACTGGAAGTTTTTCTTTTTAGATCATGCTTTACCTTTGCACATTAATGTTTAGTGTCTGGTTGACTCAATGCTTAGAGGCACAATTGCTTCTTGCACAGGAGGATTCAATGCTGTTGAATCAAGGACACTATAGTCCAATGCCTTATGTTGCCATTATCAAGGTATTGGTAATTTTGGTATATCTTACCAGTTCTTGTTGTATCATCCACTACACTTTTTTTTTTGGTAGGATATTACCCAAAAACAAAATGGACGCATTAGGATTCTGGTACAGTGGTTCTATCGTCAAGAAGAAGCAAAGAAAAAGGGTGGTGGGTACTGGAAAGTAAATGATAAACGAGGACTGTTCTACAGTTTCCATCGTGGTGAGGCCCCAGCAGAATCTGTGATGCATAGATGCATGGTGTATTTTGTTCCAGCTCATAAGCAACTTCCGAAACGCAGAGATAACCCCGGTTTTATCGTGCAAAAGGTGTATGATACTGATGAGAAGAAGCTGCGTAATTTGACTGATAAGGATTATGAAGTTGCAAAACAACATGAAATTGACATCCTTGTGGAAAAGTCAATTTCGCGATTGGGTGATCTTCCTGACCTTGAAATTGAGTAAGTTCTAAACATGGGGAAACAACTTGATCAAAAAGGGGTGCATGCACAAACAATTTTTTTTTTAAAAGAAATTGTTCTACAAAGGAAATTGTTTAATCCTTGACGGAAACTCAGATAATTATGATTGTCTTTATGTTTTCATATATATTTCACTAAAATGTGCCCCCGGGCATTATAAGGTTAGACTCACCCCTTGGTTCTAGAGAAGACTGAAACATCTTCCCTGAAAATAAACGTATCTCTTGTTGATATTAGAAAGGAGGAAGATGCTTTTTCCTATTTCATTATAGTATCATTCTATCTTACACAAGTTTAATAGATGACGCTTATCGTAACAAGTATTCGGCCAAGCTTCTGAAGCAGTCAAGAACATATGCTATAAAGCTGGTGATGAACCAAATGTGGGTTCAGATGGATCCCATCTTCAACAGGCTGAGAGCGGATCTCAAGAGAATCCATTAATGTGTCTTCTTTGATCACATTCTAAATATTATCCATTGTCATACAACCATCTTTCACATAACCCATTTAAAAAAAAAATGCTTGACAAGATACGAGTTTTCTCTGGCCGGATGCTGTTGTTCCTCAGTGTGTGCCCTTGAGCTGCTTTTATATGTTTACCTTGCATCCGTTATTCTAAATACAATCAAAGGATAAGGACATTGGCATTCAATCTCGAGGGTAGAATCTGCATTCATGCCATTTCATGATTGCTTGTTCATGTGTGATCCATATTCATAACAATTGATCTATGAATTAAATGTGACATTCTGATATGACTTGCTAAATTTCTAATTCCTTAACTATGATGATCTAAACAGTAATTCCATTATTTGGTCTGCAGAACACTGCACTGCTGGCTAAACGACAGCTCAATGGAGAATTAGAACCTGCAATTATTTTTGAACATGTCACATATTGAGTTAAAGGATACGGAATTTTTATATTACATATTTGTAAACAGATTCATCTGAATCTGGCTTTGTGCTATAAACCGGAAATAGTTATGATTATTTCTTACATGTTCGACGAATAAGATTTGCTTTCTTAATGGGATTCATGAGGAATATTAAAGATGTATTTAAAAACAAATTTGTAAGACAATTAAAGATGTATTTAAACATTTGCTTGTTGAAACTACCTTAATTAGATGATCCCACCAATCTGTGCTCATATTAACTATTTCTGAGATGTTCAAGACGAATACTGAATTTGCCCCAAGGTAGGTCAAAACCAAACCTTGTCAAAAATCCTGCTTGAATGTTTTGTCTTTGCCATCTCATTAAAACATGTGCCTTTCCAATATTTTTATATTTTTCACCATTAGATAATAATAACATCTCATTACTTATTTCATATGTTCAAAAAAAAATTTTGGCTGAAAATCCAGAGAAGCAAAGAAAAATATAAAATTACAAAAAATACAACACTCAAACACAATAAATCAAATTAATGTTTAAATGTATTCATACCTTGTTCGATGGTGATTGTGAATTTGCCCCAATGTAGGTCAAAACCAAACCTTGTCAAAAATCGTCCTTGAATGTTTTGTCTTTGCCATCTCATTAAAACATGTACCTTTCCAGTATCATTTATGTTTTTTAACCATTAGCTAATACTAACATCTCATGACTTATTTTATGTGTCCAAAAAAGTTTTGGCTAAAAATCCAAAAAAAAGGAAAAATATAAAATCTCAAACAATACAACATTCAAACACAATAAATCAAATTTATGTCTAAGTGTATTCATACCTTGGTCGATGGTGGTGTAGGATCTTGCATACAATAAATCTTGTTCAAAAAAAAGAAAAAGAAAAAAAGAAGAGACACTAATTTTGTGTCTTTTGTGCATTGTTTTGTCTTGTAACTGATTACTTGACCTCAATAAGCTGCATTATGAGTTCAGAGTGAGTGTATCTCAGTTTCTTTTAATGATTTGAATCTATGTTCCATTGTATGTGTGATTGTTGCAAAGAGATGTAGATTGACAATCTTTGATCTAATTCTTTTGAGTAAGGATGTGAAGCTTTGTGCCTATTTATGGGCTTCGGACTGGACCTGAGAAGAAAACAAGATGGGCTTTAGTCTTGTGCAAACATGAAACTCCTATTTGCAATAGGAATCAACATATGACGGTGGATTACAAAATCTTTTTACATATTGAAATAGCTTAGGTCAAGTAGTATATATAGAGCTCTCATATTATGTTTGTAGGTAACAGAAAAAAAACATATAGTCTCTTGAAGAACACACTGCTTGTAACGGGTTACACGATTCATAGTGAAATTAAGTTTGTCTCCGGTTTTGGAGGTGGACTTGCAAAAACACATTCTGCGTTTTTCGATTCGTTTGATACAAGCAAGCTAAGTCCGTTTCTTTACAAGTGGTATCAGAGCTTAGGTTAATCTAGATCCAAGTTACAGAGATTCGGAGGCAAGATTCAATAAACAAGCAAGGAGGATTCTTATCTGGTTTGGTATAGAAGACTCGGGCTCGTGGTATTTGAAGCTTGACGGCAACAAAGTGTTACAACAACCTGCAAACAAATAAACAACGTTTAGGGTTAGATAGAGAGATGGAAGCGACTCCAAGAAAATTTTAAGTAGAGAAATTCGATGGGAAGGGGGATTTTGGTCTTTGGAAGTACAAGATGCTGTGTCAACTTGAGATTGTAGGTTTAGGTTCTGTCCTTAAGGAGAAAACTCCTTCTACGGACGATGATGAAGGTGGAGGACTGACGAACCTTAAACCTGATCCCAAGGCTCAAGATCGGAAGCTGCATACAAAGAATCTGATCAGTATGTGTCTATCTGATCTAATTCTTCGGAAGGTTATGAATGAACCTACAGCGCTTGATATGTGGAAAGCGTTGGAGGCTGAGTATCAGACAAAAACCCTACCTAATCGGATCTACATGAAGCAACGATATGCAGGTTTTAGAATGGAAGAACACAAGTCTATTGAGGAGAATCTAGACGTGTTTCTAAAACTTGTGGCTGATTTAGCAAGTCTGGATATTAAGATCAGTGACGAAGACCAAGCTATTCAAATTCTAACAAGTTTAGCTAAGCAGTATGAGTCTCTAGTTGATGCTCTCAAGTATGGAAGCAGGAAAGAGACCCTAACAGTCCGAGATGTTACAAGCTCAGCCTATTCTAAGGAAGTAGGGAGAAGGGACTTCTTAATAAGTCCAAGAATAACTCGGAGGGGATGTTTGTTGGTAACAACAGAGGCAGAGGTGAGAGGAAGAATGACAAGACTTGGAGAGCTAGATCAAAAAGCAAAAACAGATCACAGTCAAAAACTAAGTTTTCTAAAGAATGTTGGTTGTGTGGCAAGGAAGGACACTTTAAGAAGGAGTGTCCGAAGAGGAAGAAGCCATCAAATTCGGTCAACTTAGCTAATGAGAAGGAGCAACCATTGGTTTTAGTAGCGAGCCAGCAAGCTACTAAGGATGAATGGGTACTCGACTCTGGTTGTACATTCCATATCACTCCAAATAAAGATGTCTTATTTGATCTTGAAGACATAGAATGAGGGAAGGTTTTAATGGGGAACAATACTATTAGTGAGATCAAAGGGATCGGGAAGATAAAAATCATGAATGATGATGGATCAAGTGTGATTCTCACTAATGTTCGTTTACATGCCAACCATGGGCAGAAACCTCATTTCTTACGGCTCATTGGAGAAGATGGGGTGTAGATATGAAGGAAAGGATTTCACGGTTACAAAGACGACAAGAAGGTTATTCATGGAAAATATCGTGATGGCTTGTATTACCTACAAGGGACAGTACTGAATGGTGAAGCTGCAGTTGCAAGACCTGATATCGATATGACCAAGAGGTGGCATTCTAGACTCGGCCATATGAGTTTAAAGGGAATGAATATATTAGTCAAAGAAGGTTACCTAAACGAGAAGGATGTAAAGACGTTGGAGTTTTGTGAGAATTGTGTTTTGGGAAAATCACATAAGTTAAGTTTTCCAAAAGGTAAACATACGTCTAAGGAAGTCCTAGAATACATCCACTCGGATTTATGGGGTTCGCCTTCGGTAATTGAAAGTCTTGGGGGCTGCTATTATTTTGTTACATTCATCGATGATTTTTCAAGGAAAGTTTGGATCTATTTCCTAAAATCAAAAGATGAAGTGTTTCAGAACTTCAAGGAATGGAAGACAAGCGTGGAGACTGAGACAGGAAAGAAAGTAAAATTTCTTAGGACAGATAATGGACTAGAATTCTGCAATTTACAGATGGACACATTGTGTAAGGATGCACGGATCAAAAGACACAGAACATGCGTCTATACTCCACAACAAAATGGAGTATCAGAACGCATGAACCGTACTGTTATGGAGAAAGTTAGGTGTATGTTAACAGAAGCAGGCATTGAGCAAAGGTTTTGAGCGGAAGCAGCTTCAACAGCAGTTTACTTAATCAATTGATCTCCTAGTACAGCTATCAATTTCAAACTACCAGAAGAGGTGTGGTCTGGAGCAAAAACAGACTTAAATCATCTAAGGAGGTTTGGATGTACAGCTTATGTTCACGTGACTCAAGCCAAAACCACTCCAAGAGCAATGAAAGGAGTTTTCATGGGATATCCAAAGGGGACTAAAGGATATCGGGTTTGGTTACCAGAAGAGTCAAGATGCACGATAAGCAGGAATGTGATCTTTAATGAAGAAGAGATGTTTAAAGACATAAAAGGAATCAGCGAGAAGCACCAAAAACCTAAGAGAGTGACATTTAGTCCAGTGCTGATTCAAGGGCCGTCAAACACAACTACAGACAATGAGATCGAGGATTAAGTTCAAGGTGGAGTTTCTTCTGGAACAGAGAACTCGGGATCGGACTCCTCAAGCTCAGAAGGTGACAAAGATGTTGGGGAAGCTGAACAAGAAAACCTAGAAAATTACATTCTTGCTAGAGACAGAGCCAGGAGAAATATAAAGAAGCCATCAAGGTTTGATGATTCAGATTGTGTGGCCTACGCCTTGGCCAGAGCAGAAGAACTAAATATGGATGAGCCTAAATCCTATTTAGAAGCTAGAAGAAGTAAAAACTGGAAGTCTTGGTGTGGGAACCGAGATTCACACTTGTCGATTTCCGTTAAATAAGGAAACTTAGGAAAACCCTAATTTCCCAGAGGAACCGGATCTCTGCGAAAGCCAACGACAAGTAACCAAATAAATGCGGAAAAATATGAAAAACGCAATAAAACGAATTTATAAAGAAAGTCAATCTTATTTCCGATTCGCGTAAGAGCGTTGCGATCATTACAAGGAATTACAAAGGCTTTGGCCGCAGGGGCCATCAGCGAGTTACAAACATAAAACCCTAGATCTAGTCGAGTCGCAGCTCGATAACGAAAGACGAAAAAAGATAGGAAAAAAGGTTTGATTGATTTCGGGCTGAACCTTATGAAAGGCTGCCTACATACCCCTTTCGGGGATC